GATGGGTATGGCTGAGCTGAGTGTGAGCGGATACGAGTGTGAGTGGTCTGAGGATGGGTGAATCTGCATAAGAGTGGATACGGGTACCACTGGGTATGAGTGTGTGCGTGTGGTATGAGTGAATGTGATATGAGTAAGAGTCTCGATGTGAGCGAGTCTGGGTATGAATGTGAGGGTGCATAAGTGTGAGTGGGTCTGAGTGTCAGTGAGCCTGAGTCTGACTGAGTCTGAGCGTGGAGAAAGGCGAGGAGTGATGAGGCGGAGGCGGCATACTGATAACAAGAACCCCGTACTCTGGATACGGGAAGCGAGCGCCTCGCTCGGGACATCCTCAAACTCTACTCTGAAAGCTAAGGAGTCGGAGCCGCCAAACGTGCACCTCGCTCGAGGTATCCCCAAGCTGACCGCGAACGTGCGAGAGTCTTATCCTCTGGCGCCGCCCCCCCCCTTGTGGTGCCAAAGTCCGATGCCTGCTAAATCGAGGTGATCATGACGAACGAGCCTGATGAGCGAGTATGAGTGCGACTGCGTAAGAGTGATAGGGTGTGTGTAGTCTGAGTTTGAGTTTGAGTATGCGTGGGTCTGAGTGTGAGTGGTCATTGTGGGTGTGGGAGTGTAGGTGTGTTTGAGTCTGAGTCTGAGTACGACTTGGCTGAATGTGTGTGTGGACACGAGTGGGAGTGGAACATGAATGAGTGAGTATGAGTACGAATGAGGATGAGTATCAGTGGATCGGGGTGTCTGTAACCCAAGTATGACTGATATGAACATGCTTAGGTCTGAGTGCAAGTGAGTCTAAGAGTGAGCAAAGAGGAGGAGGGAGGAGCGGGAGTGGGAGGCAGGGGCATCACAGTAATTAGCATGAGCAGTCTGTGTGAGCAAGTCTGAGCGCAAGTGGGTATGAGTGTGAGTGAGTATGAGTATGAGTCTGAGTACGCGTCTGACTGTGAATAAGGAAAGGAAGGAGGGAGGAGGCGGGAGGTGAGAAGGCAAAGAACTGGCGCAGGCGTCACACTGCTACCAAAAGTCCTCTACATATGATATGGGAAGCGGCAAAGTAAACCAAATCATCGCTGTCGCCATCTTCCTCATCATCAGCAAAATCCTCACCACCAGCATAACCGTCATCATCAGCATCATCAGCATCATCACCAGCATCGTCAGCATCAGTATCATCATCATCATCATCATCATCATCAGCAGCATCATCATCATCAGCATCAGCATCATCCTCATCCTCATCCTCATCATCATCATCATCATCATCATCATCATCATCATCATCATCCGACTAGTCACAAACGTCTTGAGCAGTGTCATCATCGTCACCATCCCCACTCGCCGCCATCAGCATAGACGTCGCCGCCGTCCTCCTCGTGGCCAGCATCATCGACCTCACAATCGGCGTCGTCAGTGTCATCATTACCAGCTTCATCAGCATCAGCATCAGCATCATCGCCAGCATCAGCATCATCATCATCATCATCAGCATCATCAGCATCGTTATCATCAGCATCAGCAGGAGCATCAGCAGCAGCAGCATCACCATCACGATCATGACCTGCATCATCATCAGCATAATCATCATCATCAGCAGCAGCATGAGCATCACAATCGATATCATCGTCATCGTCATCGCCATCGACATCATCAGCATCATTATCAGCATCATCATCAGCATCAGCATCGCCATCAGCATCATCATCGCCGTCGTCATCTGCATCAGTTTAACCATCGTCATCAGCATCATCAGCATCATCATCACTATCATCATAAGCATCAGCACCAGCATCATCAGCAGCGTCAGTATCATCAGCACCATAGTCGCCAGCCGCATCATCACCAACACCATCAGCATCATCATAATCAACATCATCATCATCATCATCATCATCATCATCATCATCATCATCATCATCATCATCATCATCATCAGCATCAGCATTATCATCATCATCATTAGCAGCCGCAGTATCATCATAATCATCAGCATCATCATCATCAGCAGCATCATCATCATCGTCATCAGCATCATCATCATCATCATCAGCATCATCATCACCAGCATCAGCATCATCATCATCATCAGCAGCATCAGCATCAGCATCAGCATCATCATCATCATCATCATCATCATCAGCATCGTTATCATCATCATCATCATCATCATAGTCGTCAGCAGCAGCATCACAACCACCATCATCATCAGCATCATCATTAGTAGCAACAGCAGCAGTAGCATCATCATCAGCAAAATCGTCATCATCATCGTCATCACCATCAGAATCACCATCATCATCATAACCGTCATCATCGACATGATCATCATCATCATCATCATAATCATCGTCATCATCATCATCATCATCAACATCAGCATCACCATCATCATCATCATCATCATCGTCATCATCATCATCATCATCATCATCGGCATCAGCATCACCATTAGCATCAGCATCATCAGCAGCATCATCAGCAGCATCGTCATCATCATCATCATCAGAATCAGCACCATCATGAGCATCATCCGAATCAAGATCACCAGCATAGCCATAGTCGGCATCATCATCATCATCATCATCATCATCATCATCATCATCGACATCAGCATCATCGTCATCATAATCATCAGCACCGATATCGCCATCGCAGTCGTCATCGCCATCGTCATCGGTGTCATCAGCAGCAGCAGCATCACAATGAACATCAGCATCAACAATCCGAAGCCGAAGCAGCAGCATCATCGCCACAAGAATCATAAAAATCGTCAGAATCATCGCCCTCATCACCATCATCGTTATCACCATCCTCATCAACAGCAGCATCATCAGCATCAGCATCATCATCAACAGCAGCAACCTCCGCGTCGCCGTCACAACATGACCAGCTATGATCCTCATCATCCACCGCCCTCCTCCACCTCTCGTCACTTCTCCTCCCTCGGTGTCTCGCTCCAACTGCACTCCAAGAGAAGGAATCATATGTGCAAACGGCACTCCTTTGATACTCGTCTCGGCTCTCGGTCCTCCCAGGAACGGTAAACTGATACACGCGTCGAAAACGTGGCTAAAGCGCAACTAGAGCCGCAAACAGACACAAATAAATAGACACAAATAACAGGATTCCCAACATTTTTCCATATATTTTGGATGATCGTCTTCCCCCCCACTTCCCATATTTTCGCTTTTTTTTCTGGGGAATCGACGATTAATTGTCTCTGTGTGTTTTTCCCCTCCTGAATCATGACAACCAGAAAATCTGGGCGAAATACTGATGGGCAGAAGCACTGTGCTCTGAGCACCCTGGGGGCCTGCGGGACTTCTGCCTGTCCGGGTGTTCAAGAAACGAACCTTGAAATGGCCATGGGAACGTGTTTGCTGATTTGGTCCACCAATTCCCCCTGCCCACGAGTGTGCTAAGGCACGCTGGAAATGCTCGAACATTCGAGCCTGATCAACTGGGCATGTAGATCTGGACCCCCGAAAAATGGGTCGGAAAAAACGGGTACGATGCCCGAAAAATCACAAGGTTGTCAAACACCGACGGCGAACGCTGTTGGGCAGGCGGCCGTCTGTCTCGAATGGGCAAGGCCCGCGGCGGTACCGACGGCGAATCCCGTTCAAAATGGGCAGAGAATGCGGTCAGTCTCTGTACCCACTCTTTCCGTACCCGTGTCGATCGCCCCGAGGAGATGACCCTGCACGCTTCCGCGACAAAGAACCGGCATGTACCGCTTCGGCGGACTCGCCCTGCCCGTGGCGCGAAGCATCCTCGTGAGGACGTGCGCCTGCTCGGCTCCTCCCCGCCCCTCCTCCTCCCCCTCCCGCCGGCGCGGGGGGAGGCCTTGGCGCCCCCTCCCTCCTGGGCGGCCAGCTTGGAGACCTCGGAGAGCCTCAGCGCGTCCGTGGGGGGCGGGGGGGAAGGGGGGGAAGGGGGGAAGGGCGGGAAGCGGCGAGCGGGTAACGGGGGGTGGAGGAGGGCGAGCGGGTGGCGGGGGCGGGGGAAGGGGAGAGGAGGCGGGGGGGAAAGAGGGGCGGGACGAGGGTCAGGGACGAGGGGGCGAGGGGGAAGAGAGGACCAGCTCAGGGGGGGAACAGCATCGAGCCGCAATCGGCGATACATCGCCGATAAATCAGCGATAGGCCCCCGATAGCGAAACTGCACGTTCCTCGGCGGTGTGAGCTATCGGGGCACTATCGGCGACGAATGGGCGATTGGGGGTCCATGCGTCCCCCACTGAACCTATCTTCCCTGACGTTGCCCCTGAGGGGAGAAGGTAGGGGTGGTGGTGGAGGGAGGCAAGCAAGGAGGGAGGGGAGGAGGGAGGGAGGGAGGGAGGGAGGGAGGCAGGGAAGGGTCAGTAGCCATTTTGGCTCAAGTCCGTAGCGTTTCGCTCAGGGCTTGGCATTGTGGCCTGGGGGATTTGCGGCCCCCACTGTCTTCCCAGGCGTCCGCCCGGCTAGCACATTTCCTCAAGACGTCCAACTTAAGGAACTCTCTCTTTCACAGTTGTACATCTGCCTTGCGATGGTGCCTGCCCATTCTTTCTCGCTTGCGCCGTGGATCAAGTCCCAAGGTGCTGAGGAGCCATGGGTCACAAAAGGCAATCGTCGGGGGGCGAAGGGCATGGTGTGCCCCAGTTGCAGTTGCAAGAAGAACAGCGCCAACGCCGAGTATTGTAAGCACTGTGCCAGTGCTCATCCGACGCTTTCTCCTGCTTCTGGTCACGTTGTCAATGGGCGCTGGGCTCTCGCTGGTCCTCCAGGCTACTGGTACGGGAACGGCTCCAGTCCAGCTCCAAGGGCTCGGGCAACAAGGGCTCGTTCGCGGGCAAAGGCAAAGGAGAGGTTCACGGCAATGGGAAAGGCAAAGGTAAAGGTTATGTCGGAGGCGACCCCTCCACGTGGGATGCGGTGGCTCGACAAGATGATGCACAGAAATGAGATGCAGGTGCAGGAGGTGCCCCGCCACTTCCTGCGGGACCAGCAGCCGCAAAGGCCAAGTCTCTGGGGGAGTCGCTCCAAAAAGCGGGGGGGTCATGGAGCGGCTACCAAGTACCTGGACATGGCGCATCATCTGGAGGCGGCCGCCAAGCCAGCTGTCATTTCGGATCACACACGCACGCAGCAGGTCCATTCCAATGTTCGTCGGCTCGAGAAGCAGATGGAACAGACTCTCAGCACGGTGGTTCGCTTGCGCGAACAGCTTGTCGATGCGGAAGCCACGCTGCGCACGGTGCGAGACCAAGTCAACCAGGCGGACGCTGACTACAAGGCCTCGCTCGCTGTGTTGCAGGGCTCCCACAAGTCTGAGGAGCAGCCTCAGGCCACGGTGGGCTGGTTCAAGCTTGAGGACCTGGTTGCGGGCACTGTCGATCGCTCAAAGTTCATCGACTGCAGTCACACCCTGGAGGATCTCTCGGTTGAGGCAGGAGGTTGAGGCGAGTGACTTGGATCAGTTCCAGAAGCGCAAGGAGGAGCTGTCTTCAGGAGTCACGAAGCTGGCGAGGGATATGTTTGCGCAGGTTGCGGACCATGCCAAACAATCTACGAGACCAGCACGAAGCTCATCGCACTCGGCTCGCTGCCAAGACGCGCAAGGTTGCAGATGGAGCAGCTGCAGCAGGTGGGTGAGATTGCGCAGGAGAGGTTGCTGGAGAGGCCCCTGCTGAACCTGGGGCGGCTTCTGCAGGTGCTTCTGCTTCTGCGCAGCCCGCCGCGGCAGCCGATGACGCTGCCCCCTTTCTGAGGACATTCGAGCAAGGGTTAACCGGACCCTCGAGGAATCCTCGCCCCCTGCCACAGTCGCGCGACAAAGGGCGCGAATCTGAGAGCGGGGGCCCAGGCTTGAAACCCCCCTGGGATCTTTTTAATGTTTTAGCCTCGAGTGTCTGCGATTGGCCACAGGTCCCAGGCCTCAGGGGTTCGGTTATTTAGGCGCCTCAAGGGTGCCTTCGGCCTTGAGGCTGTCGGAGTCTCTTTTGATGCCCCTCTTTTGCCTTCTGAAATTCGGGTGCCCCCAGAAGGCCAAGGAGCCGCTCGCATCTCCTCTCTGCCTCTGCCTGTCACGGCCGGGAAACCGCACGTTGTGAAGACTGGTGAGACCCCGTTGGTGGGGAAACAAGCCGCACGCTTGCCGCAATCCGATGCCTCTTTTTCTGGTGCGAGCTCGGCAAGGGCCTGATCCTGCATGAGTTTTGTCCCCGACGGCCTGCCAGCGACCTCAGCTCGAACCCCGGCTGCACAGGGCGCGGTCACTGACTGCGCGATCAGGCTTGACGAAGGGCTCCTGGTCACCACTGTCAACGCCAGCACTTGGGGCACCCTCAAATATTACCTCTCCGCTTCGAAGGCCCACGTGGTCATCGCTCAGAAGCATCGGTTGTTGGATACGGGAGCTCTTGGCCAAGCTTCGAAATCGCCCAAGTTCCCGGGCTGGAAAGCGTCGTGGGCTCCTGGAGTACCTGGGGAAGGAGGAGGCGTTTCATCGAAAGTGTGCGTCTGTGTTCGCGATGGCCTTGGCCGTTTTGAAGCTGGGGATCGCACTACTTTCTGCGCTGGCAGAGCTGTGGCTATCATGGTGCACGTGCCAGGTTGCGCCCCGATGCGCATCTGCAGCGTCTACCTCGTCCACGGCGAAGGTCTCTCCGACTCCACTCTCGAGATGTTGCGCGCTGTGGGGGGGGGGGGGATGCTTTAGGCTGCGAGTTCATTGTGGGAGCTGACTGGAACATGGGCCCTGAGGTCTTGGAGTCCTCGAGCTTCGTCAGTCGTCTCAGAGCCTCCTTGATTGTGCCTCCCGAGTAGAGGGGCCCCTGATCGCTTTGATGATTATGTGGTTTCTGAGGCCCTGAGTCTCTGCTTGAAACTTGCCGGAGTTGACACTACACCCTGCGAAATGCTTAAGAAATCATGGGTTCAGAAACTCAGAGTCTCAGAATTTGAATAAAAACCCAGAACTTCTATCAAAATCTTAGGATTTACATTGAAACGTTAAGAAGCATCGAGACTCTCGCCGAAAACTTAAGTTTTCTTAAGCATCGCCTAGGGTCTAGCATTGCCCCTCGCCGTCCTGTGTCGCTCCGCTTTCGTGGCTCCCTCGGAGGTCTGAAGGCCTCGCCCCCCGCCAGGCCCCCTTCGCTGCCTGCGCTTTGGCGCCTGTGGGCCCTGCCCCATCGGCCGGGCCCCTGGGGGCGCCGCGCTGGACGTGGCCGGAGAAGCTTTTGGAGCGGTGGAAGCTGGGGACGGGACAAAAGCCCGCAGACTGCTCAATCCTGGTTACAGTCGGGGCGTTGACCTAAGGAACCCTAAAGAAGGAACGAGGCCCCTTGTTTCCATAAGTTAAACTTCGATCTCCTATCGAAAACACAAAGAAAACCTGAGGCAAGCTGCGAAACACTTGAGGAACGCGGAGCCCCTCCCCAACAAAAAGGTTTCCTTCTTCAGGGCCCCAACTGTATAGGGTTTGGGCTGACTCTGCGAAGAGGGAGCCGTGCTTGCCCTTGGGCCCGACCTCGAAATCCTGGGGATGAGGGGCAAGCAGCCTCAAGCTGTTTGGAAATAGGTTTGGAAGCCTGCTGGCAGAGAGAAGCAGGGGATGGGATAAATCGGGGATGGGATGGAATAAATCGGGGATGGACAGACCCCCCTTTAGTAAAACGTGGTTTAGTGAAAACGACCTGAGGCCCAAACCTGGCGGGCGCAAGCCTGGAAGATAACGGCCACGGCGCCCTCTCGAGGACCGAAGACGGACAATTCACTAATCGACGTGTCACTGTTGGGGGTTCTGTCCACCCCCGAATAAAAGCCCGTAGACTGCTCAATCCTGGTCATAAGGTTTGGGCTGACTCTGCGGAGAGGGGCCCGGTGCTTGCCCTTGGGTCCGACCTCAAAATCCTGGGGATGAGGGGCAAGCAGCCTCAAGTTGTTTGGAAATAGGTTTTGGAACCTGCTGGCAGAGAGAAGCAGCCAGGCTTGCGTGCTGTCCAGTGGTTGTGCAACCAGTTGCGAGCAGTTAGGTGCTACCTCTCTGAATCGACCTTGCAGGAGGCTGGACGTCAGGCGCTCAACTCGATCACCCAAGCCCCCAGAAGCCGCGGCCGTGAAAGAAGGCACGGACTTCTTCCCTTTCTTCAGAGCCGGCGGGGCCTTAGCTAGATGCGCCCTGCTGCCTGAGTTTGATCCTGAGCTTCTTTCGGATCTGAACGACCTGATCGCTCAGGTTGCGCTCGCCGTCTCCACTGCCAAGGCCACCTCCGCGACGGAGTCGAGGAAAGAGTGGCACGAGTGGGTGGGAAAGGGCATCGACGCTGGAGGTCGCAACGCGCAAAAAGCTATCAGGGATCCCGAGCCTTGGAAGCCGACCACCACCTTGTCTAGATGCGGGACCATTGTTTGCGACCCTGTCTCGTTGCTTCGGGCGGAAGGCGACGAGTTCGCCGCCATATGGGGCTCCGGCTCGGGGGAAGGAGTTGGACGCGACATTATCCCGCATGCTCGCGTTTTGGAGCCTGCTGAGAATCGAGCTGTTTCTAAGAAGCATCGTCCTGCCTCTGCGGTCAGCATCGACGGTTTTCATTGCCGTCACTTCTGTTTGCTCCCCAATGAGGCTTTGCGTGCTCTTGCGTTGTGGTTTGCTGTGTGGGAGGCCACTGGGGCCCTTCCCCGCCAGCTGTCTTGGGCCCTCGTGGCCCTCCTGGCCAAGCCGACTGGGGGGTTCCGACCCATTGGGATGTTCCCCAGCCTCCACCGCGTTTGGGGTCGCGCACGTAGGCACGAGGCCCTGCTTTGGGAACTGAAGTACGATATTGGGCCGCGGGGGCCCACAGGGGCGCGGGGGATGTTGTCTGGAGGCAAGCCTTCGGAGCTGAAGCGGGAACTGGGCGAGGAGACACCTCGGCTGCCATGTTCTGGGATCTTCGAAGTATTATGAGCACATTGACCTTAGGTTTCTCTGGCGCCCAGTGCCAGAAGCATGATTTCCCGCTCCAGCTGGCGCGCGTGGCCATTCAGGCGCACTCTTGTGCCAGGTTCCTTGCGTTGGGGGGGCATTATCCAAGGACTTTTCCTCGTGTCCAAGGGCCTGGTGGCTGGTCGCTCCTTTGCGACCAGCCTTATCCGTGCGTTTGCTATGGAGGCCTTCGATCAGGCCCTCACCCATATCCCCCAGGCCCCTGGCAAGAGCGGTGACTTCGACGCTTATGTGGACGACCCGAGCCATAGCTGTACTGGATCAGCCAATGTGGTCGTCGCCTCTCTCACTGCTGGAGCCAAGGCACTCCACAGCGTCATCACGAGCACGCTCGAGTGCAAGCTGGCGGTGGACAACGTTGGAATGGTTTGTAATTCTCTTGACGCGTCGAGGCGCTCAACGCAAGAGTTAGGCCTCCAGGTCGGTCCAGTTTGCTCTCGGGCGACCAATCTTGGCTCGAGCTTTACCTCGGGCAGGCCGCTGAGAGGCAAGGGCCGATCGGCCAAGTTGTTGGCTCGAGCTGCGGATGCGTTGAAAAACCAAGCGCCTGAGGGGCCTCACCGAGGCCTCGGGGCGCAAGTGTTTGCGTGTTTGTGCGGCTGGGCCCCTTGCTGGGGCCATTTATGGTTCGGACTTTCACGGGGTCTCGGACCGCGAGCTGCTCGACCTGAGACGCATGGCCATGTCCACGGTGAAGCCCAAAGCTCAGGGGAGATCGCTCAGCGTCTTGCGCCTGCTCTCGAATGGCCCCACGTGGCGCCAGAGTTGCGCCCCCATCATCCGCTGGGCCAAGGAGGTCTGGACCCTGCACACTCTGGCCCCCCCCTGGACTATTAGTTGGGCCGGGCTTAGAGAGGTTGGCAGGCGTTTTTTTTTCCTCGGGCAAACATTATTGGGCCTCTGTCCTGGGGCCGATCTCTCCGCTCGGGATGTCGCTGCATAGGCTTGCCTGGACCATGCCAAATTTTTGCACGATCATACATGATTTCGGCCGTGAGATTTTCCCCGCCCGTTCGCCCCCCAAGCTGGTCAAGCTTTTCTGCAAGGAAGCGGTTATGAGGGGACTGGAGAGGGATTCGGGGGACAAGTATGGTCGTGATTTTCGGCTGTGCTGGGATGTGGTCAGACAGCTCCAGTGATCCAAAAAGGCTTCGGGGAAAACGAAAGGTTGGGTCCGAGCTCAGGCCACCAAGGCCTGCTGGACTGCGAGCGACGTCGCGGCAGCAGGCTACGAGTTTAACGACCAGTGCGGGTCGTGCGGCATGGTCCGCGACACCTTGTTCCACAGGCTGCACGAGTGTCTTCGTGCGCAGGATGTCAGAGATGCGGTTTTGGGCAAAAGTATTCAGAAAGAAGCTCCGAGATAGGTGCGTACCATATGCATATGTGTTTTATGGAGCCTTCAGACACCCTGGAGACTATGCCCCACCGCCGATCACCGATGGAGGTACGAGTTTGGAATGGTGTGCGGATGCCCTTCCCGGCCCTGCCAATCCTGCTGCTGCCCCCTCCCTTCCTCCCTCCACAGGGCTCTCGGGGCACCTTTTTTTATGGACGGCTCGTGTCGTAGGCACATTGTTCGCGAGTTGTCTCGGGCCGGTTGGGCCGCGGTTATGGTCTCAAGTTCGGGCGAGCGCCTCGGGGTCTTTCAAAGTCCTCTTTGGGCTCCTGGGCCTCAGACCCCCCAAGGAGCGGAGTTAGGGGCCCTGGCCTGGACCTCTGTTCAAACCGAAGGCCCGACCCCAGTGTTATTCAGTTTGTGCCAACCTCGCTCATTTGATGAATCTTGGACCTGCTGGTGGTACCAGCGCGAAGCGACAATATGTTGGTCAGATCATCCAGGCGATACATTATTTTGGGCCTAACCTTGAGTCGATATCCAAGGTTGATGCCCACAGAGACCCCTACGAAGAAGGGCTCTCGGCGCGTGAAAGTCTCCTGCGCCAAGGGAACTGTTATGCCGATGCGTATGCCAAAAGAGGGGGCTGGAAAGCACCCTGATATGTCTCCTGCTGAACACGAACTGTTAAACCATCAGATCAAAGTCTCGCGAGCGGTCTTGCTTGCGGGTGCAGAGCTTTTGCCACCTTGGCCGGAACTAAAGTTCAGGGGCCTGAAGCATATCCCGCCGCTGTCAGTCCCTGCGGCTCCTGTTTTAGAGCTCGTCCACGACTGGTCCCAACAAGGTTCGTGCTGGCGTTGTCGTGTGTGCCTCCGAGGGTCGAGGGCGTTGTCCAAGCCTCTGGGAGGACAGTGCCCTGGGCAATCTCGTTTGGACCAGGGACAGTTGGAGAGACTGGGTCACCGTGTCATCGCTTTCCCTTACAGTGACGGTAGCCTCCTGTTCTTGTGCATGTCGTGCAAGTTTTCTAGCAGTGGAGGTAAAATTCTTGGCATTGGCCTTAAATGC